GGTTTGGGCTGTTTTTTACTTAACAGTCAGGACCATGTGTCTCATCTTGATGTGGATGATCCCAGCAGGCACTGGTTGACAAGTGCTGCAGTTACTTCAGCATCCCCAAAGGCTGCTGTGGGAGACCCTCCATCGGAGACTTTGCAAAAGACAGCATTGTGTAGCATTCCTACACTGTGAAGAACAAACTATTTTCTTATTTGGGGGGAAAAGTGTCCTTTTATGGGAAACAGGCTCAGCCCTGTGTATGTTCCTCACATGAAAGCCACTCTGCCCTCATTTGTGGCCTCCTGACCACAAGACAAGATCTTTAATTAAAATCGGTTTGGTTGTGTGTGTGTCTTTCAAAGAAAACCATGGAAATAGTGTTTGTGAGTCAAGACCTAACAGACGCTACCCCAGTAGCCTCCTCATTTAACCCCTCCTCCATGAGACGCTGAATGGTTGGGAGGTGGTGCCACTGTGGCCCTGTGGGCCTGGGTCTGACAAACCCCCCTGAGCATATACGCCCTGATCTTCACCAAGGGCAAAAGGACATGACAGAGGAGGGTGGGTGCCTAATGTATCCTAAGGGCAGGTCTAACTCAGGGCTAGGGAATGCCTGGCTCTGAATGGCTAGAAGGCCAGGGCCAGCCCAGGCAGATCTGCTCATTATCCACACATGGCCATGGGGAATGTGGAATCACATGGCTTTTGGGAACTGTTTCTAGCCCAGGAATGAGCCTGCGGAGACCCGAGTGCCATCTAACATGTTAGCGAAATTAATGCTTAGCCATGTTTTTGGGAATCCTGTGGTTGGGCGTTCCATGTTTTTTCCTCTGCCAACAGCTCTCTGTGCTCTTGAGCCTCCTCTTGCTGCAAAGAAAAGCCAGGTCTGCACATGACAGAGCCCTGCTCAAGCAAGATCTAGAAGCTCCAGGCTTCGCTCGCAGGCTCGCCTACCCTCGAAGTGCTTCCCTCCTGCTCCCAGAAGTGGCTCCTCCTTAACACAGACCTTTTCAAGTCTGCAGCATGGACTTGGACTCTGGCACTCTCTCACTCATCCTCAGCTGTGCTGGACTAGCTACATAAGCCCAGGTGGATGTCTATGCCACTGCTACAAAGGAGTGAGGAAGCTGCTTTCCAGTGGTGGTGGGGGGGGGGAGCTCCAAGCTCCAGGGGTAAGGGCAGAGTCCTACCATGTGACAGGATACACAACACGCTAACTTGGGAAGGGAGGTAATTATACACAGGCAATGATAGAATTTGCATTTTATCTTCTGAACCAAAGAAACTCCAGAATAATAAAAGCAGGTTTCCAGAAAAATGGCTGAAGGAGATGCCAAGAGTTAGACAGATGGGATGCAGGTTGGAGTGTGTACACACGCACGCTCTGCACACTATGTACATGCAAGTATGTCTGTGGTGTGTTAGTCATTGTTTCTTTGCTATGACAAAATTCTTGACAAAAGCGACTTAAAGAAGGAAGGGTTTACTTTTGGCTCATAGTTTGAGGGTACACAGTCCATCGTGGTGGGGAAGGCAAGGGGAAGAGAGTGTGAGGCAGCTGCTTCCACAGTCAGGAAGCAGAGGAAGGTGAACACTGGTGCTCAGCTCACTTCCTCCTTTATTCAGGCCAGGACCCAAGACCATGAGATGGTACTGCCAGCATTCAGGGAGGATCTTCCCACTTCTGTAGAACACAACCTAGAAACTTCCTGACAGGCATACCCAGAGACTTGTTTCCACGGAGATTCTGAATCCCATTGTGTTGACCTTCAATATAGACCAGTGCAGGGATACGCACATTATGTAACTGGAGCGATTTAAATCTCACCCTCAGCTGATGGGATTCATGAGCGAGATAAACCAGTAAAATTATAAGGCTGGCACAATCCTCCCCATAGTTTTGACTTCAGGGAACTCAATGAGTAATCACCCAACAGTTGTAGATGCTTCATTCTTTCTGCGTGCATAAGAAGCCTACACCAAGACAAAGCAAGACACTGTCATATGTCACAGGGAGCTGAATGTGCAGCTGATTCTCTGGCTGCAAGGGGAGCTGTCAAGTGAATTTCAGGATAGCTGGAAATTAAGGAGCAAAGCCAAATCAAGACCTGCCACTGGCACAATAGTGGCATGGCAGTTGTGAGGTAAACCAACTGCTTTCCCATGGGATCTGAGCTCTGCTTCATAGGAAGGAATTCAAGTCTATTGCACCTGGTCAAAAGCTGGAGGTCAGGAGGTCATAGGCCCTACAGGAGAAACTACTACTCTGCTCTCAACTTTGGTCAGAGAAGCTTCTCTCCAAAGTGTAGTGGTTAGTGCAGAGACTCGTGACTTGTACAGTGCTGAGGAAAAGAGACTGCTAAGTGCTCTGCCCTAAATGGGACATCTATATCTATCCTCCCCCCACAAAGGACTCGGAACATTGTGGAAGAGGAATCAGGCAGAATGTAAGGGCTGGAGGCTAGAGGAGTGCTGTAGAATGGTGTCTTTTGGCATGACATGGCCATCGCATCTATGAAACTCACGGAAGCTGTGGTGACCTACACAGGATCAAGCCAGTCAGCATTCCAGCATGAACAGGAGAGGGACTCATAAAATCCCATTTCTCAGTGAGAACCTATTGACAACTGATGGCTGATAGGAAAGGAGGGTCAATTTTTCTCAAAGGTGCAGCTGCTGGTAGGTTGTCCATGTCCCTTGATGGCTCAATACCCACATGCATTTGGACAGCACTAACTGGACTCTGTCATTTTAAAGAAAAGTAGGATAAGAAGGAAGGAAAGGAGGAACAAGAGGAGGAAGAAGAAATATTGAGAAAACCTGGGGGAGTAGAAGGGGTGTTGACATGGATATGATCAACATACACTGTGTACATGTATGGAACTGTCAAAGAATAAAAAAAAATTTTTTTAAAGGCAAAAATATTCACAGCTCACAGAAGCAAGAACAGGAGAGAGATCATTCCAAGACCCATGGCAGCAAAGAATAGCAAATTCTAACTTGCTGTGTATGACTAACACGATCCTTGGAGACAGAGTTTTGGTTGGCATGCCATGTCAGCTATGAGCAGCATTCAAGTGGATGGTGTGAGCATCTGTGTTAAGGAAGAGAAGAGGGAAGCAAGTTAAACACAAGGTCAAAGGAAGGGATAGCAAAGATGAGAAAATAGAAAAGGGCCAGCAAGATGGGGCAGCAGGGAAAGGAGCTTGGCACGAAGACTGATGACCTGAGTTCAATCCCTGGGACCTATATGGTAAGAGAACAGACTCCACAACGCTGCCTTCTGATATCCACAGGCATGTGCTGGCATGCAAGCCAACAAATATAATAAAGGAAACATTAAAAGTAAGAATTAGGGGGCAAAGAACAAAAAAAAATGGAAGCCCAAAGCAGCATCTTTGAAGGCATTAATACATGTGATATATCTCTATATCAAATGACCAAAAAAGATACAAAAAAACAAACACAAGTCACAGAAAGTAAGGACAAAGGATGAGACATCACCACAGATCTTATGGTTTTTATTTTTTTTTAATGACCTTCAAGAGAGCAGGTTTACATTAATAAGTCCAATGAGAGATAAAATGTAAAAACTCTTCATACATATGCTTGAGTAAAGCAGCAGCAAGAACAACAGCTCTGACTCCACTGAGGTTAGACACAGCCTCCATCCTTCCTTGGCTCTCAGGCCTTGGTAAGTCTCGGGTCTCAACACCCACACCTACTATGTGGCAGCTGTACTTGATTCACACTGGGCTCTTGGCAGACCCCTCTATGGCACAGCCTCTTTCCATCCTTGTCTCATTGAGCAAAGAAGACAACAGGGGCCTGAGAGAGAAAGGAACTCTCCCAAAGCCACACAGCTGTGTCAGGGCAGGCTGTCAAGCTTGGATAGTCCCAAGCCAGCATATGCTCTAACCTTTAAATCCTATAGTCTCCTCCCTTTTTCTAAATACAGTTCCAGCTAGCCAGTCTGATCTACAACAAGATGAAGCCCTACAGGAGTCCTGCTGGTTAGCAAACAACACATGTCAAATAGGTTAAGTGATTCACTCATGGCAACACAGCTAGGGTTTACATCCTGATCATGGAGATTGTTCTTTCTGTAGCTATCTATCAAGTTGTCCAAGATAGTCAAGCCACCCAGAGCTAGACATCCCACTGACCGCCTACTCCTGGCCCTGTCCTGAGGATCACAGGGTTCATGGAGGGATGGTGCTGGCCCTGGCATCGTGATTCCTTGAGCAATTAAAATAAATTGTCCCAGATGACAATGGCAGCTCCTGCTGCACTGGATCCACCTGCCAGTCCCCAGCAAGTCTCACTCTACCCACATGAGCTGCCCAAAGGTGGCAGGTATCATTATGTTAATGTTGCCCCCACAAAGCAGCTCAGAGAATTTAATTAACTTGCCTGAGGCACACAGCCATAATAAAACAATTTTATAAAAGTTCTTTAGAGGGGCTGGAGAGATGGCTCAGAGGTTAAGAACACTGGCTGCTCTTCCAGAGGTCCTGAGTTCAATTCCCAGCAACCACATGATGGCTCATAACCATCCGTAATGAGATCAGGTGCCCTCTTCTGGTCTGCAGGGAACAAGCTGACAGAACACTGTATACATAATAAATAAATAAATCTTAAAAAAACAAAAAACAAACAACAAAAAAGTCCTTTAGAAAGCTCTGAAATTTGTGTCAAACTTTTCCAGTCTTGTGAAGAAGCAGAATTCAGCCCACACTCCCTTCACATCCTTTCCAGTGCCTTCTGGAGTGGGTCTTATATCTCCTGTGGCAGTCTGGAAGAAAATGGCTTCCAAAGGGAGTGACACTATTAGAAGGCTTTGTTGGAGTAGGTATGGCTTGTTGGAGGAAATGTGTCACTTGGGGGGGTGGGGGTGAGGTCTCCTATGCTCGAGCTATGCCCAGTGAGACAATTCACTTCCTGTTGCCTGCTGATCAAAATGTCAGACTCTAAGCTCCTTCTCCAGCACCAAGTCTTCCTGAATGCCACCATGTCCCACAATGATGATAATGGACTAAACCTCTGAAACTAGAAGCCACCAAATTAAATGTTTTCCTTAATAGGAGTTGCCATGATTATGCTGTCTCTTCACAGCAATTGAAACCCTAAGACATCTCCTGTGTGGCTTTCTGGGTAGAACCATGTAGCAACTTCACTCTGGGCCAGTCTCCAGGCAGCCTGTACTCCAGAGGGAATATTCCACCTCCACCCTACTGCTTGAGAAGTTTGGATATATGGATTAATTTCTGTTCGTCTTAGAGAGGCCAATGTGGGCCAGACAGCAAGGATCTGCTCCACAATGCTGCCTCTGGCCAGAGTATTTTTCCCAAGGTGGTGAAGCACAGGAGCTCAGTTACTGCACTTTGAGGACATCCCTTTCTCTTCCACCCTCCATCTTTCCTTTCCAGAAGCTGCCAGTCAGAGCAAGCATCTTGCCAAGGCAACAGGGAAGGCTGCCCTTCCTCTTGGTCTGGGAGCCATTTTGTATGGGAAACGGAAGCAGCACTTTCGTTCCAGGGAAGGGACAGAGTAATCGCCGAGGGCACACGAAATCATTTCTGTACCGGGATCCGAGCCGCCAGCATTCAGCTTAATTACACAGTGGGTCATGCTCTGCAGAAAGCAATTATGCTGCAGAGCTTCCCCCAGAGCATGCTCAGGGACACACAACAATCAGACTTGGGAGGTTCCAAGCCTCCTTTCATCCCAGATGCCTGCCCTCCCTCGGGAGCACATATGTATCTGGATCTTTCCAGGGTGAATGAGTATTTGGATGGGTAACCTGTCACACAGCTGACTGATCCAGAGTCTACAGGCCAGGGGGCCACATTTCTTACCAGTGCCTTGTCTGCCTCCACAACTGAGCTTAGCTTAGAGGCTGGCAGCCTTACTTGTACCTTTCAGGAATCCAGTCATACTGTCTACCCATCCTACCATGTCTGGTTCAACAAGGAAATGACTTTCTCACAGAGAAGCCTGTTAGTGCTCTGTTCTATCCCAGTTTATAGAAAATATACAAACCTACCTCCCTGTCCCCAGCATACACATACGTGCGTACACATGTGCGCACGAGCACACACATGTACACACACATATACACACGTGCACACGTGTGCACACATGCACAAACATACACATTCACGCAATACAAATACACATACAAATACAAATACAATACATACACACATGTACACACGCAGGCACATGAACAGACACATACATGAACACATTTGTGCACATACACACATACATGCAGCTCCCAGTGCACATGGAAGATAAGGCATGTCCCCAGCAGCCCAAGCCGCCAGGGTCCTGCCCACCCCATCAGCTTCTCTGAAAGGCCCTTTTGTGACAGGAGGGCTTTGACCCTACACAATGCTCTCTTGTCCACTGGCCTCCAGAGAAGGAAGGGAGTAATTTTGCAGTGGTTTCCCCAGCGCTGAATTCTGCTAGAGACTCACGTTTCCCAGACTGGTCTGCAACAGAGATTCTGTCCCCAAGGAGCCTGGGCCTGGAGAAGGCCAGCAGGGTGGAACACCATTCTCTCTTGGATGCTGCAAAGCCCGGCAGGGCTATGGCCACACTCCAGCAGGCCACTGGAAGCAAGGTACCCAGAAGGAAAGCCCAGCCAGCAGGCCAGGCAGCACACCTTTCTTCCTGTGATCTGAAAGAAAAGTTTTGCATGTTTGAGAAAGCTGATTAAACACTGGATGCTCTGTGATGGGGGTGGATTTCTTCTCATCACTGCATCAATCAGAAACTTCACCAGGTTACCACCTGCAGGTGCACTTGGGGTCAGACTGCACCCTCACTGTGGGGCTGCACACAGTTCACTTCTCTACCTCAGCCCAGCATTCCCCCCCAGATGCCACTGGCCTGTGGTACCCAAAGGCTCAGCTATGGCATGAGCCCCCAAAACCCAACGGAGAAATGATTTGTATTGGATCCAGCAGAATATAGTTTGGGGTTTTATGCTGTTTTGGGGTAAGCTGGAAGCCAACCTATAACTGAATGAAATAAACAAAACTGGCATTTACGAAATTCTTTTCATGCTTTTCCAGAGTATGCAGCAGGGGTGACTTCTCAGAAAGTTCCAGAGAGGGAATCCTGGGACTAAAACATCCACTGGGTAAGATCTACCTTCCTGATTGTACTTGAAGGTTTGGGGACCCTTCCTGTCTGCCAGCAGTGTGATGCAGAGAAGTGGTATCCCAAGATGGCGTAGAGAACACCTTCCTGACTGTGGGCTTCTCCATGTAATGGCCATGTGACTCTGAGCAATATGTGTAACAACAGCCCCTGGGTATATATACATAAGGGAGTTAATACTTACAGTGGCTGAAGGCTGTTGATGCATAAATAATGCTCGGCATGTTACGGTGGCTGTCTTCATTCTCTGCACATGTGTGATGGCCTCATTATCATCCCATATGCAGGGTTCTGCCCTACCAGAAGGGCACAAAGGCCAGTGGCAGAGGCTGGGACTCTGTCACTCTGCCAAGCTTGGTCCTGGAGAATATCAACATAAACTCTAATAAACAACACATATAAGTACACTGGTCAAGAAGCTAGGGGCCAGGCCTGATGGCCAACACAGCCCGGTGGCATAAGACTGGCTTTACAGGGCGGATGAACAGCGACCATGGCAGGTCCAGGTATGACTACCTAACAAGTGCCACCTCTGGTGGAACAGCTGAGTTCATTGGGCTCCCTCCAGTACCTCCCAAACCCCACCTTAATCCCTCTCTCCACCATCTGCAGAACCAGGTCCTGAGCCTTCACCAGGACACAGCAAGTCTTCATTTTGCTCTTGAACTGTGTGGAGTGATGGGATCCAGGGCATCATCCTGTTAGAGACCATCACCGCATGCATGTAAACATTGCCTCCACGCTTCTGCAGACCCAGGAAGGTCTAGCCAGAAAGTGTCAATCACCATCATCTTCCAGCATCATTCCCCCAATATCAGCCCCTCGTATGATACCATCATGCGATGAGCTGGTTCTGGTCACTCTGGATCCTATTCGTCTGTAGGTCTGTCTTGCCATTTTCCTCCATGTGTGCAATGCCTGGTATGCTGGGCAGAGAATCTGCTGGGCATGGGCACGAATGCTAGGGATATGCCCCGTGAGCAGGTCTCAAGACTCCCAGAAGTCTGTGCCTGGACTATATATGTCCCATATGCTTCTTGATTCTGTTTCTGTCCCTGACCTCTGCCCTTAGGTAGATAGGAAGGCTGAGGCCCTGGAGTTGATGCTTCCCTTCCTCCAGGCTCATGTGCTGGAGACTTTGTCCTCAATGTTGCAGAGCTGGGATATGGTAGGGCCTTTAATAGAAGGGTCCTAGCGAAAGGTGATTGGGGTTACTGGGAGCACGGTATTGATGGAGATCCATAGGAAAGCACATTACAACCAAGTAAGATAGCCCCTCTCAGCCCCTCAACTGCTATCTAGCCTTGCCACCTCCTCCCTCCCACCCACTGCCACTACGATGCCATTAATCATATCATGGCACAACCAGGGCTTTAACCTCACCATACCCCATGCTGGTTAGTTTTCTTTTGTCAAGTTAATACAGGACAGAGTCATCTGAGGAGAGGGAGCCTCCGTTGAGGACTTACCTCCACCACATTGTCTACAGACAAATCTGTGCAGCATTTTTTTTTTGGTTGATGACTGATGAGGAGGGCCCTGCTCACTATGGGTGGGACCGCCCCTGGGCTAGTGATCCTGAGTTATCTAAGAAAGCAGGCTGAAGCCGGGTGTTGGTGGCGCACGCCTTTAATCCCAGCACTTGGGAGGCAGAAGCAGGCGGATCTCGGTGAATTGAAGACCACCCTGGCCTACAAGAGCTAATTCCAGGGCAGCCTCCAAAGCCACAGAGAAACCCTGTCTCGAAAAACAAGAAAGAAAGAAAGAAAGAAAGGAAGGAAGGAAGGAAGGAAGGAAGGAAGAAAGAAAGAAAGAAACCAGGCTGAGCAAGCCAAGGAAAGCAAGTCAGTAAGCAGCAACCCTCCATGGTCTCTGCTTCAGCTCCTGCCTCCAGGTTTCCGCCTTGAGCTCCTGCTCTGACTTCCCTCGATGACAGAGTTTGGATTTTTCTTCCCAAGCTGCTTTTGGTCAGTGTTTATCACAGAAACACACACACACACACACACACACACACACACACACACACACACACACACACACACTGCCATCAACCTCTTCTCTTTATAAAGTGCCAAGCCTCCAGTGTTTTGTCATACCAACAGCAAATGCACTAAAACAAATTACAGGAGGGAAATTTGTCCCCAAACTCACAAAGAGACTCCAGGGAGGCAAAATTTGCATGAATTTGCTGGACTAGCTATATCAGCCAGGGCAGAAGCAACATGGCCGCTATGGCACACTACCATAGGGCTCATTTCTCGGAAAAGCTCCACACCCATGCCTCAAAGGAACAAAACCCCAAACCCCACAGACCCGCCCCCATGAAGCTCTGCTTTATGCTGTCTTCATAGTACTTGGAAGCTCATCACTGAAGTGGGTTGAATCCTTTCTGTTGGTTTGAAGAAAAATAACTTCTCTTGTTTGTTACAGCCACATTTGTTATTTAAAGGGATAAAATAATTAAAACAAGTGGCCCCATGCAGCGTTGGGTTTTATCTTTAACATCACATCTGACGTAATAATCGTACAGTCACTGGGGTCCATGAACTTTATCTGTCACCCATGACTTACAATACTGATCTTTTATTTAACAACACATGGAAATTAGGTTCTTCATTGTGCCAGCTTCCTGGGACCAGCTTCTTCATCTCCCTTTGACTGAGGGTCTTAGACAACACAGTCTATTTTCTCTCTGCTCTGGAGGCCAGAAGCTGGAAGGTGAGGGCACACCTGGTCCTTCTGAGGAGTCTGGGACTGTTCTGCCTCACACCAGCATCCTGTGTCCCTAGCCATCCTAGGCATTCCTCACTGGGATGACCCCTGCAATGTCTACCTCTCACCCACTAGCCCTTCTCTAAAAGAATGGGGAGGGCTGGATAGATGGCTCAGCAATTAAATGTTCTTGACACCAAGCCTGATGGCCTGAGTTTGATCCCTGGAACCCATATGGTAGAAAGGGAGAACCAGCCGTGCATAGTAGCACATGCCTTTAATCCCAACACTCAGGAAGCAGGGACAGGCAGATCTCTGTGGGTTCAAGGTCAGTGTGGTCTACATAATGAGTTCTGAGACAGCCTGAGCTACATAGTAAGACACTGTCTCAAAAAGAAAGAAATCTTTATTTTTATACTTTTTTTTAAGTCAAAAGTCTCATTCTGTAGCCCAGGCTGGCTTCAAACTTACAGTGATCCTCCTGCCTCTCCCTCCTTCCCCATAAATACTCACACTCTCCTGTTTTCTTGTCTCACACATCCTAGAATGCAGAGAGTATGGAAAACTGCCCCAAATCCCAGGCAGTGGACACCTGTGTCTCTGAGGTGCCACCTCTGCCCTGGCTCTATGTTGGGACATCTCTACATCTCACTCACTCCTGTCTATTGCACAGTGCCCTCCTCACCACAAGATCCCTCAGCTTCCATTCCGAGCTGAGGACATGGTAACTCTGGTCAGGTACCCAGGGGTGTGCGGTCCTACAGTGCTGGCAGGACATTCACAGAGGAGTGGTTCAGTGAGGCCCCTGCTGCTGCCTCAGGGACTCCAGCACAATCAGTCCAGAGAACCCTGACTTGTGGAGGTGGTCTGTGAAACACAACTCCATCTGCACAGAAATGTGCACAGACAGTCACCCAAGGCCCCACTGCCAAAGGAGTACTACACAGCAATGAAAATGCAGGAACTACACCTCTGTGCAGAGGCCTGGGGATTCCCACTCCCTGTCCAGAGAAAGCACACTCTGTTAGCTTCAACTTCCACATGGTAACAGGTCTGTTTCTGGGTCTTCAAGTCTAGAAGGGTCACCTGTGGATGGCAGTGCTTTCAAGCGCCTTTGGCCCTTAGAACTTGTTGACCTAGAGAAAATCGCCCAGCTCAGCTGTGGACACGTCTATAGTATTTCAGTTTCAATACAATGGCTAATGCTTTCTCTCAAGTCTGTGTTGGTACTGTGCTAGACAAGGTGATAGCTGACATAGGAGGTGGGACAGCCAGAGCCACCCTGCCAGCTGACACAGGCTTCTGGGAGTGTATGGGGGCTGTCTCTAGTCCCAGAAGAGGGGACCTGTATCTGCTGTGATTAGAGGCTCCAGTAGATATGCCCTTTTGCAGATGTAGCATTGTTCCAGAATCTAAACAGAACACAAACAAACTACATTTCCCAGAATCCTTTGTAACATGCACCCTGCTGGAGACAGTCAAGTTCAGTGGTTGCCTCTGGGTGTTTTGAGTTCCAACCTCCAGGCTGGGTGGTAGATTAGTGTGCTCTTGATTTCTACAGTCCCTATGGCCATGTCCTGGTTCTCTTCAGAATTCTTTCTAGAACCAGCTACAGAGTTCAGGCCTCTGGTCCTCAGATGACCCTGTATTAAATCTCCATCTGGACAAATTACTTGGGGTGGCATCAATCACAGCACCTTTCAGGATACGAGTATCAGGAAAGAGGACGAGGAATTGGCGTGAGCATGTACCTGGAGGCATTGAATGACCAAGTATCTGGCTTGACACCCCAGGCTCTGGCACCAGCGCAGGGAAACATCCAGACACTTCCACAGGAGGCACAATTGGTTCACCATTCTATTCAGGGTGCTGTGAGTGGAGTATCCTTCCGAATGGCCACACGAGTCAAATACCCACGTTCCCCAACCCAGGTGTCCACAGGGAAACCCTCAACCCCCAATGATGGCATCAGGTGCTAGGGTCTCTAGGAGGAGCCCTGTGGTGGCCCTAGAGCCCCCATGAAAAGGACAGGAAGCAACTTTGTCCCCTTTCTGCCATGTGGGAAGATGACAGAGTAGCAGGGCCCCTGGAAGGGGGCCCACCATTTAGCTCCCATGCCTGAACTTCTCACCCTCCCAGAACTACAGGGAATGTGTCTGTCTTCAAGTCACTGACACTGCTGATGGAACTGCGCTAAGGCAGCACTGACTGATGAAAAAAACAGTAAGCAGGATTAACACTGTGCTCTTCTGGGAGGCAGGATTTAAAAATATTAACAACAATAGGAAACTGGGCATCTGCATCAGCTGAATGATCAGACAAGCTCCTGGTCTTTCTGGTCTCCCCTTCTGGTCCCCTTATCCAACACACACACACACACACACACACACACACACACACACACACACACACACACACACGCATATGTATGTATTTGATTTTGTTCTGATACGGGTGCATGTGGAGACTAGAAGTTGACATTGGTATCTTCCTAAATCCCTTTCCACCTGCCTTGGAGGCAGGTGTCCTTATTGCAATAATTCACATATCTACACCAGCCACTTTAGAATGCATCTGACGACATGACAGCGCAAACTGATGCAGATGGGTATGTGGAGAGATGATTAAACCAGAGCCATCAGAGAACT